CCAGCCTCCGGAAAGCCAACGGATGCCTTCGGCGCGGCAACGCGGTAGTGGCAGGCCAAGCTCACCTCGCGCGCCGTTTGTTTGCAAGACTTCGACCCTCTTTCCGCTTTAACCGGTGGCCGAGAGCTTGACACGATGCGAAGGATTCGAAAGCACAACGGAACAATGCACAGCTGTCCTCGCAGCCACCACCCAAGGCTGGACCGTTGAGAGCTGCTACCACGGTCTTGGGCGAGGCATCGATCGTGTCCTTGGCTAGGGACGTCCCTCCAGCACACCCTCTGCGCAGAAGCTGATCTTGCGGCAACTGCCAACCTCACGAATGGGAAGGTCGGCCAATCAACCGTGCGTCCATCATCTCGCTCAGGGCCGCCACGGGGTTGTTCTTCCTGCACCAGTGTGCCGCTCAAGTAGCACTCGCTTTCACCCCAAGCACGAAGCAGTGGAGGGCCTCATCTCGGCCTCACCCATTGCCACCATCATGGCAAACCTGATGGCTTCCACAATCGCAACCGTCTCTCCGCAACCCGGAAACAGCGCCGTCTTCAGCAGCTTACCATCCTAGTGGTTGAAGGCATGCAATTGTTCACAAGACGTTTCGCAACTGCTTGCCATCTTCGCCACTCCTCTCAACATGCAAATGAAGCCCAACATTTGATTCTTGCTATGCATGTCTCATTGCCGCTTCAAGTAACTCGGTGATCTCAGCACCTGGGGCGGACCATGGCGATGCTCGCGAGCAATGGAGAGCTATCTATCTGTGGCTTTCTCATTCGGGACGACCCCAGCTCCGCTTTACCCGTCCGGCACTTTTTGCAAGCGTCAAAGTCCTGCCTAGCTACATGCCAGCTAGCTCGACCCCACATAAAGATTATGATTGCTTCATGGCTTGACGGGGCACTCAACTGCATCTGTTGGAGTGGCAAACTCGAAAAGCCAAGACTCCACCCGAGAACATCGAGCCGCTGCCGGTAACCACGATAGCTTTTACCTGCATGACACGATATGGCTCGAGACTGATAGCTTCGCTGGCGCAAGCTATCGTGATCCGTTGCGATCATTCACCTCTTCAGTTGTTGCGGCGCTACAGATTCTAAGCTCGCGTCTGAATCTTCGGCGACAAGTCCATCATCCCCTGCAAACCCCAGCCGAGCCTTTGGATCTTGGACGAGTTTCGGGAACTCCTGCCTAAGCTGCGATTCGAGCAACCCCCGAAACATCCCGCAGCTTCGTCACCGCTTCTGGAGGAGCGTCGAGTTGGGGTGAATGCAGCCAGCCAGTCATGGGGGGAGCTGAGTAGCTGCCTT